TCGGCCTCCTGGGTTCACGTCATTCTCCTGCCTCAGCCTCCCGAGTAGCTGGGACTACAGGCGCCCGCCACTACGCCCAGCTGATTTTTTTGTATATTTTAGTAGAGACGAGGTTTCATCGTGTTAGCCAGGATGGTCTCGATCTCCTGACCTCATGATCCGTCTGCCTCAGTCTCCCGAAGTGTTGGGATTACAGGCGTGAGCCACCGCGCCCGGCCTAGTGATCTCTTCTATACAACATATTACAATACACTCATTCAAAAATACTACAAGTAGGCCAGGCGCGGTGGCTCAAGCCTGTAATCCCAGCACTTTGGGAGGCCGAGACGGGCGGATCACGAGGTCAGGAGATCGAGACCATCCTGGCGAACACGGTGAAACCCCGTCTCTACTAAAAAATACAAAAAAACTAGCCGGGTGAGGTGGCAGGCGCCTGTAGTCCCAGCTACTCGGGAGGCTGAGGCAGGAGAATGGCGTAAACCCGGGAGGCGGAGCTTGCAGTGAGCTGAGATCCGGCCACTGCACTCCAGCCTGGGCGACAGAGCCAGACTCCATCTCAAAAAAAAAAAAAAAATACTACAAGTAGAAACTGTAATACCACAACACTCCCCTTGTCTTTTTATTTATGGCCTCTCTGATGTTTGGGATATGGTCATTGTTTGTTTAAAATACGGAATGCTTCACAAATGTGCATGTCATCCTTCCACAAGGACCATGCTAATCTTCTCTGGTTTTTTTTTCCTTTGTTCGTTTCGATATGGAGGCTCACTCGTCCAGGCTGGAGTGCAGTGGTCTGATCTCAGCTCACTGCAAACTCCACCTCCCGGATTGAAGCGATTCTCCATCCTCAGCCCCCGGAGTAGCTGGGATTGTAGGTGTGCACCACCATGCCCAGCTAATTTTTGTATTTTTAGTAGACACAAGGTTTGTCATGTTGGCCAGGCTGGTCTCCAACTCCTGACCTCAGGTGACCTGCCTTCCTCAGTCTCCCAATCATAGGCTTATTTATTTTATTTATTTTTATTTATTTTTTTTATTTTTATTATTTTTTTTTTGAGACAGGGTCTCACTCTGTCACCCAGGCTGGAGTGCAATGGCGCAATCTTGGCTCACTGCAACCTCCGCCTGCCGGGTTCAAGTGATTCTTCTGCCTCAGCCTCCCAAGTAGCTGGGATTACAAGTGTGCACCACCACACCAGGCTAATTTTTGTATCTTTGTGTTTTTTTTTTTCTGGTTTTTTTTTGAGACAAAGTCTCTCTCTGTCGCCCAGGCTGGAGTGCAGTGGCACGATCTCGGCTCACTGCAAGCTCCGCCTCCCAGGTTCACGCCATTCTCCTGCCTCAGCCTCCCAAGTAGCTGGGACTACAGGCGCCCAGCACCATGCCCGGCTAACTTTTTGTATTTTTGGTAGAGACAGGGTTCCATCGTGTTAGCCAGGATGGTCTGGATCTCTTGATCTCATGATCCACCCGCCTTGGCCTCCCAAAGTGCTGAGATTACGGGCGTAAGCCACTGTGCCTGGCCTAATTTTTGTATTTTTAATAGAGATGGGATTTCACCATGTTGGCCAGGCTGGTCTCGAACTCCTGACAGGTGATCCACCCGCCTCGGCCTCCCAAAATGCTGGGATTACAGGTGCGAGCCACCACGCCCGACCCATAGGTTTATTTTTGATTGAATATAGCCTTATGCTCATCAGCATGTTTGTACATTCTTTTCTTTTTCTTTCTTTCTGTTTTTTTTTTTTTTTTTTTTTTTTTTTTTTTTTTTTTTTTTTTCTGAAACAGAGTCTGGCCCTGTTGCCCAGGCTGGAGTGCAGTGGCACCATCTCGGCTCACTGCATCCTCCGCCTCCCAGGTTCAAGGGATTCTCCTGTCTCAGTCTCCTGAGTAGCTGGGATTACAGGCGGGCACCATCATGCCCAGCTAGTTTTTGTATTTTTAATAGAGACAGTGTTTCACCCTGTTGGTCAGGTTGGTCTCGAACTCCTGACCTCGTGACCCTCGGCCTCCCAAAGTGCTGAGATTACAGGCGCATGCCACCGGGCCCAGCTTCTTTTTTTTTTTTTTTTTTTGAGAGGGACTATTGCTGTGTCACCTGGGCTGGAGTGCAGTGGTGCAATCTCAGCTCCCTATAATCTCCACCTCCCAGGTTCGAGCCCTTCTCCTGCCTCAGCCTCCCAAGTGGCTGGGACTACAGGCATGTGCCACCATGACTGGCTAATTTTTCTATTTTTTGTAGAGATGAGGTTTCACCATGTGGGCCAGGCTGGTCTCGAACTCCTGACCTCAGGTAATCCATCCACTTTGGCCTCCGTCAAAAAAAATTTTTTTTGTGAGTGAGGCTCCGTCCGAAAAAATTTAAAAAAATAAAGAGTATCCAAAGAGTACTGTTTAGCCTAGATTAGGGGAAACATAAGCTGCCAGGGGGTAATTATAGTAGTTGGGGCCTGCAAGTCCTAGGAAGAAGGAAAGAGAAGGTGCCCAGAAGCAGGCCCTGCCCATCAAAGTATGATGTAGGTTGATTAAGAAAGGAAAAGAAGGTCAGGCGTGGTGGCTCACACCTGTAATCCCACCACTTTGGGAGGCCGAGATGGGTGGATCTCGAGGTCGGGAGTTCGAGACCAGTCTGGCCAACATAGTGAAACCCCATCTCTACTAAAAAACACCAAAAATTAGCTGGGTGTGGGTGGCGGGCGCCTGTAGTCGCAGCTACTTGGGAGGCTGAGACAGGAGAATCAGTTGAACCCAGGAGGCAGAGGTTGCAGTGAGCCGAGATCCCACCATTGTACTCCAGCCTGGGCAACAGAGCGAGACTCCATTTCGAAAAAAAGAAAAAGAAGAACTAGCCCCTGCCTAGGTTGCCTCAGTGGGACTTGAGAACTGACTGGATGTGGATGAGAGCTGAGTCACAGGAAGGGACAAGAACACGCTCCTGGGAAACTCTTGCTCAGTTAAGACACAGCTCAATCATCCTGTGCTCTGTGAAGCATTCCTGCTCAAGTCTCTCCTGTTACCCCCAGGACAGTGTACAGGACCCCAACAATGTGATGTGCAGGTCTTTGAACACCTTTAGGGCAGTGATTTTTGTTGTGTTTACCCTTCTTTCCCCACCACGAGATCCCACCTTTAAAAATAAATGTTGAGGCTGGGTGTGGTGTCTCATACTTGTAATCTCAGCACTTTGGGAGTCCTAGGCAGGTGGATCCCTTGAGCCCAGGAGTTCAAGACCAGCCTGGGCAACATGGCAAAACCCTGTCTCTATGAAAAAATACAAAAATTAGCCGGGTGTAGTGGCACGCATCTGTAGTCCCAGCTATTTGGAAGGCTGAGGTGGGAGGATCGCTTCAGCCCAGGAGGTCAAGGATGCTGTGAGCTATGTTCACAGCCTGGATAACAGAACAAGAGCTTATCTCAAAAACAAAAATAATAAACAATTTACTTTGGGAGACCAAGGTGGGCAGATCACGAGGTCAGGAGATCAAGACCATCCTGGCTAACACGGTGAAACCCTGTCTCCACTAAAAATACAAAAAAATTAGCCAGCTGTGGTGGCTGGTGCCTGTAGTCCCAGCTACTTGGGAGGCTGAGGCAGGAGAATGGCATGAACCCGGGAGGCAGAGCTTGCAGTGAACTGAGACCGTGCCACTGCACTCCAGCCTGGGCAACAGAGCAAGACCCAGTCTCAAAATAAATAAATAAATAAAAATTTAAAAAAATAAACAATTTGCTGGGCGCGGTGGCTCACGTCTGTAATCCCAGCACTTTGGGAGGCCGAGGCGGGCGGATTACAAGGTCAGGAGATCAAGACCACGGTGAAACCCCGTCTCTACTAAAAATACAAAACAAAAAATTAGCCAGGCGCGGTTGTGGGCGCCTGTAGTCCCAGCTACTCCGGAGGCTGAGCCAGGAGAATGGTGGGAACCCGGGAGGCGGAGCTTGCAGTGAGCCGAGATCGCGCCACTGCACTCCAGCCTGGGCGACAGAGCGAGACTCCGTCTCAAAAAAAAAAAACACAATTTAAAATGCTGGGTGCAGTGGTTTATGCCTGTAATCCCAGAACTTTGGGAGGCTGAGGAACAAGGACTGCTTGAGCTCAGGAGTTCGAGACCAGCCTGGGCAACATAGCAAGACTTCATCTCTACAAAAAATAAAAAATTAGGCCAGATGCAGTGGGCCTGTAATCCCAGCACTTTGGGAGGCCAAGGTGGGCGAATCACGAGGTCAGGAGATCGAGACCATCCTGGCTAACACAGTGAAAACCCATCTCTAGGCAGGGCGCGGTGGCTTAAGCCTGTAATCCCAGTACTTTGGGAGGCCGAGACGGGCGGATCACGACGTCAGGAGATGGAGACCATCCTGGCTAACACAGTGAAACCCCGTCTCTACTAAAAAAAAAATACAAAAAACAAACAAACAAAACAAAAACCCGTCTCTACTAAAAATACAAAAAATTAGCCAGGCATGGTGGCGGGTGCCTGTAGTCCCAGCTACTCGGGAGGCTGAGGCAGGAGAATGGCATGAACCCGGGAGGCAGAGCTTGCAGTGAGCGGAGACTGTGCCACTGCACCCTGGCCTGGGTGACAGAGCAAGACTCTGTCTCAAAAAAGAAAAAATAGCTGGGTATGGTGGTCCATGCCTGTGGTCCCACCTATTCAGGAGGCTGGGGTAGGAGGATCACAAGAGCCCAGGGAGGACAGGGCTGCAGTGAGCCATGATCGTGTCATTGCACTCCTGCCTGGACAGAAACTCTGTCTCCAAAAAAAGAAATCAGATAAATAAATAAAAATAAATGTTAGTGGAAGAGAAGAGAGACAAGAGGGTTCCTGGATTACAGGAATAGAGGAAGGCCCAAGGATATGCGTCAGGAAAGCTGACTTTATTCTGTTTCCTACACACCTACACCGAGTCACTGGTCAGAACTGTGGACTGGATGCCCGCAGAAGAATCCAAGGATTCGGCAGGTGGGAAAGGCAGTGATGAGGCAGACAAGACAGCTATGCAATCGCCATGTTTATGCTGGCATGTACATTGATTACATATAAACTGCATATTTACATAGGAGAAAGGGTACAGGCAGGCTGAGGATTCCTGGAACAAGGGCCTTGCTGAACACTGAAGTGGCAGGCACTCCGCTGAGGCCTACAGGGCAGGATGGTAGGGGCAGGAGTTGAAGTACAGTCTTCTGGGCAGAGAGGTGTGCAACCACATGGACAGCTCTCTGGAAAGGGGTGGCTCTCCTGAGGATGGGCCAGGGCAGCCAGGCGCTGCTGTACACACTCAGCCGTCAGCCGTGCTTCTGGGTCTGCATCCCAACAGTCTTCTAGGAGCTCCCTCAGCCCATCAGGGTCCTGGGAGGAATGACAGGGAGGGAGGGTTGACTCTAGGATCTTGAGTGGGCCCCAGAGTTAAAAGGCATCTTCAGTGTCCATCACTCTCCTGCTTTCAACACCCACTTCTGATCTTTCCTGGAGCCTCCCTCCTTTCCCTCTTGCTGAATTCCAGCCTTCTGAATCTTGTTCCCTATGAAACAGGCTCTGCGGGGGCCTTCTGTACAGCCCACTGTTTCCTCTGAGGAGCTAATATAGGTTGAAAGCTTAATATGCTAATGGGAAATTACTCTCTTTCCTCTCAGAGAGCCAGAGTCTTCTGCAAGTAATGCCCAGTTTCCGTTAGCTAACTTAACACTTGTGCCGTGGAAATTTCAGATCAGGTAGCAGAAGGCACATTCTGTTAAAAAAGTATTTGTGGCCAGGCGCGATGGCTCACGCCTGTAATCCCAGCACTTTGGGAGGGTGAGACGGGCGGATCATGAGGTCAGGAGATCGAGACCATCCTGGCTAACATGGTGAGACCCCGTCTCTACTAAAAATACAAAAAATTAGCCGGGCACGTTGGCGGGCACCTGTAGTCCCAGCTACTCGGGAGGCTGAGGTAGGAGAATGGCGTGAACCCAGGAGGCAGAGTTTGCAGTGAGCCGAGATCGCACCACTGCACTCCAACCTGGGCGACAGAGCGAAACTCTGTCTCAAAAAAAAAAAAACAGTGTTTGTGCAAAGCCCTGAACTTTCACTGTGAGGCCACTGCTTTCACCCTTTATACCCAGAACTACCTTTTATTGGGTCACAGCAGAAACATCATCAATGTATGACAGAATGGGGACTTACTGAACTGATTTTTGGGCTTTACTGTATTAGGAGAGCAGATGGGGCAGAGCTCAGGACAAGAGCAAAGCCAAGGAGGGCATCCTGGAGAAGGGGACTGAGGAACAGGGCTAACTGATGGTAGAGAGGAGAGACAGGCTGGGCAAGGTTGAGCAGGAGGAAGGTGTGTGTCTCAGGTAGATGGAATGGACTGTGTGAGACTTAGGGTGGAAGAGGATGAACTGAGGGAGAGAGCAGGCTTGCCCAGTTCCAGCTGAGCATGAACCAAGGAGTGATGGGAGATGAGAGGAGATAGGAGTAGACAGATGCCCTGGCAGAGATGTCCTTGAAGCCCATGCCCAGCCCCCACTCTCCAGGTTCCCAGCCCAACAGCCTAGGCCTCTTACTGTAGCAAAGCAGCGCCAGGTGGATGGGATGTAGGGACGCCTCCTCTCTTGCACTGCCAAGGCCCATAGCTCATCACAGGTAGGCGTATTGCCCAGTTCTGCCTCATAGGCCAGTTGGAAGGGTGGTGGACTGCTGTCTGGAGGGAGGTAGAGGGGCTGGGTGTCAGTTAGTCCTAGGGGTGCCTACCATATAGAAAAGGCAAGACAGGGAAGAGCAGAGCTTTCTCAGGACCAGGTCAGGTTGGGGTGAACCTAGAATGGGTGAGGGGGAGCCCAGGGGAAGGGACTGTACCACTTATCCTTACCAGGCCTCAGATCTGGGCAGCGGCTCAGTATCTCCCACAGGAGCAGAGCCAAAGAGTAAATATCAGCTCGTCGGAGGGCCATGCCCCAATCCTGTAGGTCCAGAGTCTTGTCCAAGAGCTCTGGTGCCATGTACCTCTGGGTGCCAGCCTGGAGAGCAAGGCACGAAGGGCCAAGAATCATCTCTGTGGCAACCCTCATTGCAGCAATGGTCCACGCAATATCCCCAACCACAGACTCAGCAATGTCCCAAATGCTATAGGTATTGCTACAACTGTTGACACACAATGGCTGCATTGCCATCAGCAGCACCACCATCATCCTGGGCCTCACCAGTTAGCCAGAGAACTCACTTCCATGATGGCAGCTGGGCCTTGTGGTTGAGTAGGGGTCCAGGCAGAGGGCTGAGTGAGGCCAGGGAGCACCAAGGCAAGGCCCAGGTCTCCAATGGCACACGATCCATCTTCCCGAATGAGCACATTCTGGCTGCTCAGATCTCGGTGGGCAATACCTGGTTTATATTGGCCTGTGGGGGAATCCAAGGTCGAAGGAACATGGATGTTCTTCCTCCCTTTTTTTTTTTTTTTTTTTTGAGTCAGCATCTCGCTCTGTTGCTCAGGCTGGAGTGCAGTGTCGCAATCTCGGCTCACTGCAACCTCCACCTCCCGGGTTCAAGCGATTCTCCTGCCCCTCAGCCTCCCGAGTAGCTGGGACTACAGGCACGTGTCACCACGCCTGGCTAATATTTTGTATTTTTAACAGAGACGGGGTTTCACCGTGTTAGCCAGGATGGCCTCGATCTCCTGACCTCGTGATCCGCCCGCCTCGGTCTCCCAAAGTGTTGGGATTAAAGGCGTGAGCCACCGCGCCCGGCTCTTCCTCCCCCTTTTGACCCAATCCTTCCCCTCCAAACTAAGGGAGAATCAGAAACATAGCAGTGTGGCTGCCTTGACTTCCTATGCCCAGCTCACCCACCATTCTGCCAGCGCTCCTCATGGAGAAATGCCAGGCCCTGGGCCAGGGACAGTGCCATCCGCAGGGAACTTCCCCAGTCACTGGTGTGCTGGGTCAAGTAGTGGTACAGGGAGCCCTGGGAAAAAACAGAGAGAAAAGGACAGTACACAAAGCTGGAGGTGGCTGATCCATCCCAGGGAGCAGAGATCAATTGACAGTCTTCTCCCTGCATCTCCCCAGCAGACAGAAACACTGACGGATGCTGGCCAAGACAATAGGTAGAAGGAGTAAGACTGTGCATCAATTGACATGAAAAATAGTAACTCGAGATCAAGGTTACTAGGCACTTACTGTGGTCCAGGCCCAGTGGATGTGACCTCCTGTAATCCTTGTGACAACCCTAGGAGGTAGGTCTTCCTGTCACACCCCCATTTAACAGATGAAGAGCTTTTCCTCAGAGAACTAAGGAAACTCGCTTGAAGTCAGTCGGTGAGGCAGGAGTGGAGCTTGAATCCAAGCAGTCTGACTCAAGATCACTTACTAATAACCACCACCTTATACTGACTCAGAAAATGTGGGGCAAAGACAGTAACAGAGGAGGCAGGGTAAGCTAGTCAAGGGCATCCCTCATAAGCCACCTTGTCTGAGGTATCAGGCATGTGTACACATAGACAGGCAGAGCCAGTAGATAACAGAGTAGCAGGTGGAGGGCAAGTGGGAATTGGAGGGAAGGGAGCAATAGAACCCCTCATTCGACAAGTGTCATCGAGCACCTTCAGTGGCCATGAGTTGTGTGCAGGCACTAAGATGGCTCAGATGAGAAGGTAAGAGATAAAGAATGCAGTAAACCCCAAGATGGGAAAATTAACCGAGTGCCAAGGGGCATAAAGCAAGAATGACTAACACTGCCTGGAGAAGTCAGAGAAATTTAAACAAACAAACAAACAAAAAAAAAACCAGTGATTTTTGAGCTGGGCCAGGAGGTATGTGGTCAAAGAAGGGATTTTCCATCATTCAAGATTTCGGAGGTGCAGAAGCTATAGGGGCTGAAAAAGTCCAGGGAAGAGCCACTGCATTTGGGCACTGAAACAGGTGGTGGAGGTTGAACTACTTACAATAGGGCAAAGTGAGTTGTGGGGAGCTCTTCTACGTGGACAGAGACACACACAGTCCTGGTGGAGGGGTAAACAGGAGGCAACAGACATGATCATGAGGAGCCAGCTCTAGAGTCACATAGATTCTGGGCAAATGACTTTCCTTTTCTGAGCCCCCTGTGGATAATCATTCCTACCTCATAATGTGTTTGCGAAGGGTGTGTTTGGAAATGTTTAAAGTGTGTAGCATGGCCGGGCGGGGTGGTTCACACCTGTAATCCCAGTACTTTGGGAGGCTGAGGCAGGCGGATCACTTGAGGTCAGGAGTTTGAGACCAGCCTGGCCAACATGGTGAAATCCCATATCTACTAAAAATACAAAAATTAGCCAGGAGTAAGTAGTGGCGGCATGCCTGTAATCCCAGCTACTCGGGTGGCTGAGGCAGAATTGCTTGAACCCAGGAGGCGGAGGCTGCAATGAGCTGAGATCGTGCCACTGCATTCTAGCCTGGGCAACAGAATGAGACTCTGTCAAGAAAAAAAAAGTGGGTAGTGTAATGCCTAGCAGGAAGCAGATGGGAAATGGTATGAAAGCTTTAAAAGTCCCAAATCTTTAGCAGGCCCATAGGGCCTGGTGTGGCTGGCCTCTGCCTACCTTTTCCTCTTCTTTTTGCTCATTGCTCTCCCCTTCAAGTCACATCTTATTATTCTTATAATTCAGTGACCCTCTCTTCTAGCACTTAGCACAGTTGACATTTGACACTTGTGTTTACTTGATCCATTTCTGTCTCCCCGGCTAGTCTATAAAATCTGTAAAGGCAGGGAATGTGTTTTTTCTGGCCTCTAGCATAGTGTCTGACATATAGTTCATAATTATTTGTTGAATGAATATATGAATGAGTTTGGAGGGTTGTGCCTGAAGGTATTTCTTTATTTTTTTTTTTTTTTTTTTTTTTTTTGAGATGGAATCTTGCTTTGTCACCCAGGCTGGAGTGCAGTGGCGTGATCTCCACTCACTGCAAGCTCTGCTTCACGGGTTCACACCATTCTCCTGCCTCAGCCTCTCGTGTAGCTGGGACTACAGGCGCCCACCACCACGCCCGGCTCATTTTCTTAAATGTATTTTTATTAGAGAGGGGGTTTCACCGTGTTAGCCAGGATGGTCTCGATCTCCTGACCTCGTGATCCGCCCGTCTCGGCCTCCCAAAGTGCTGGGATTACAAGCGTGAGCCACCGCGCCTGGTCAACATTGTTTTTTTTTTTTTTTGGCTGGGCACAGTGGCTCATGCCTGTAATCCCAGCACTTTGTGGGGCTGAGATGGGTGGATCACTTGAGGTCAGGAGTTTGAAACCAGCCTGGCCAACATGGTGAAACTCCGTCTCTACTAAAAATGCAAAAATTAGCCAGGCGTGGTGGCAGGCACCTGTAATCCCAGCTACTGGTGAGGCTTAGGGAGGAGAATTGCTTGAACCCACGAGGCAGAGGTTGCAGTGAGCCAACCTTATGCCACTGCACTCCAGTCTGGGCAACAGAGCAAGGCTCTGCCCCCCTCACAAAATAAAATAAAATAAAATAAAATAAAATAAAATAAAATAAAATAAATATATAAACATGTATTGTTTATGTAATAAAAAATAAAAATAAATAAAAATTATTATTATTTTGAGACAGGGGCTTACTCTGTCACCTAGGCTGGAGTGCAGTGGCACAATCTTGGCCCACTGCCAGTCTTGACCTTCCCAGGCTCAGGTACTCCTTCCACCTCAGCCTCCCAAGTAGCTGGGACCGCAGGCACGTGCCATCACACCCAGCCAATTTTTTCTTTTTTGTAGAGGTGGGGTTTCACAGTGTTGCCCAGACTGTTCTTGAATTCCTGAATTCCTGGGTTCAAGCAATCCTCCCAAGTTGGCCTCCCAAAGTGCTGGGATTACAGGCGTGTGCCACCGTGCCCAGCTTGTTACTATTTTTTGAGATGGTCTCACTCTGTCTCCCAGGCTGGAGTGCAGTGGGATGCTCACGGCTCACTGCAGCCTCAACCTCCTATGCTCAAGCGATCTTTCCACCTCAGCCCCCTGAGTAGCTGGGACTATAGGTGTGCACTGCCATGCTGAGCTAATTTTGCAGTGATAGGGTTACCTCATGTTGCCTAGGCTAGTCTTGAGCTCCTGGGCTTAGGTGACCCACCCACCTTGGCCTCTCAAAGTCCTGGGATAACAGGCGTGGGCCACCTCACCTGGCCATTTTTAATGTCTTAGAAAAGAGAAAATCGAAAGCAGAAGCATCAACAAGGCCCAGCTGCCATGTAGCCCCCACCTCCATACATACACACAGGCACACATACACATATATACTCCTTGGTGCTCACCTTGGGATGCAGTTCCAGTACCAGCAGGGGCCCAGAGAGCAGGGGGCCAGGGCCCCCCCAGCTGGCGGTGATAAATCGGACAATGTGGTCGTGCTGTAGGCCTGGAAGTTCGTACAATGCTCTCTCAGCTTGGAACTGAGCCACAGACCTCGGTGGAAAGGCCTTGATGGCAACCAGTTTGCCTTGCAGCTGCCCGGCCCAAACCACTGCATGACCTCCTTCCCGGATTACCTGGTAGGGACACTGTGCTGAGTGTGGGCCTCTGAGCTATAATAGGGCCAGGCTTCCTCCCCAGCACAACCTCCAGGAGTGCCCAGAGGATCCCTTCTCTCCCTCCCTGGGGCACCTGGGAGAAGCACAGCTCGGGCAGCTCCTGCAGCTCCACACTCCAGTCCCTGCCCAAGTCTGGCCCTGGCTTTGGCACTGGTTCACTTCGCACTCTGTAGTTCTTTCGCTGTAGCAGGGCTGGAACAGAGAAGAGCCTTAGGTTCAGGGTGCACATGCATGGGGACAGGAAAAGGGACTCTATGGAAAGGGAGCTTTGTGAGAGGTCATGGGAGTCTGGGAATCAGGCTATAGAGATCCCAAGACCATGGGGTCAGGGGTGCCTGGAGAGGGATCAGAGCTCTGGGGACAATGTCTTGGGGTCACAAGGGAGGGATGGGGTGGATTAGTACCCAAGATGATGCTGCCCAGCAGCAGCAGGAGGAGGAGGAACAGCCCCAGCAGCACCAGTGCCATCCAGATGGACTCACCTGGACATCAAGGCAAGAATGCAGGCTGGCAAGCACTGACCCAAACCTGCTCTCTGCTGTTCCCCTCCTGAGAGCTTGCTTCTTAACCCACCCCCACCCTGGTCACAAGACCCCTTATCTCCCAGTCACCAGGGCAACCAACTTCCCAAGGCCAGGAGGAGGAAAGTGTGGGGTGGGAGTAGGGTGAGAACTGGCCCTGGTTCCACCTCTCATCCTAACCTGGGCCCCAGCCCCCACCAGCCTTCAGTACCCTTGGGTGGCTACCTGGGGCAGCCTGGGGACCCTGGGAGCCAGGAGTCCCAGGGCTCCCTGGAGGAGGCAGATGGCTGTAATTGGCATTGCAGAAGTCAGTGCCACAGGAGCAGGTGAAGAGAGTGGAGCCAGGGCTGGGGTGGGTTCGGGGACTTGGGTCACAGTGGAGGGACTCACAACCTGGCTCATCACTGTCTCGGCATCCTGATGGGGCGGGATTAGGGGAAGAGGAGAGAAAGGGGGAAAACGGAGAAAGCATAATGGCATGTGGAAACAGGATAAATCCCTTCTCTATCAGAGGCATCCCTTCCATCTCTCATGGGCTTTTCTTTCCCACCACATGTTCTATTTCTCCCCTTCCCCCTTGGTTGCCACCCACACCCCAGGATGTGTCTGTCTCCCACCCTAGCTATCACCTGCCATATACTTTGCCATTCACCTTGCATTTCCACCTGTGCCCGGTCTTGGGTCAGGTTCCAGATCCCAAAGCAGCAGCGGCTGTAGAGGCAGCGGATAGCTCTAGGGAGCTCTGGGCCTGTATCTAGCAGCTCTCCCAATGTCTTTGTGCTTCCCTGCACTCCAGGGGCCTCAAAGAACACACAAGTTCGCCTGTTTGGGGGTGCTGAGGCCCAGGGTGGGGAAAGGAAAGGATTCGAGATGGGAGTGAATGCAGAGGCAAAAAAGTGGCCAAAAGAACAGACAAAACATGTTCCACATCCCAGCGTCAGTATGGTAAAGCCACAGGAGGAAGCAGGGTCAGCAGAGGGCTGGAACCTGAGCCCCGCCATGGGGACACATGGCTCTGTCCTTCACCCTCACTCACCCAGCCCACTCACCACTCTTCCAAAGGGGTGGCTCTTGCTTCAAGCGCCCCTTTCCCTCACGGGATGGATGGAAAGACCCTTCCCCTCCCTGTAGACGCTTACCTTCCACAGCTGTGGGAAGTAATGCCCAAAGCCCCAGTGACCCTAGCATCTTGCTGGAGGATGGCAGCAGCAGAAGGAGGAGAGCATGAGCCAGCACAGCTGCCCCTGGCCAAAGCTTTCTTCAGATACAGGGCATCCTGGGGCTTCTGATCCCTCAGTCCCCAACTCCGCCCCCCTCATTCTATCCCAGCCTCTGTGGGGGAGAAGGCTGCTGTGGGGGAGAGGGTGGGTGTGGGGAAAGCAGGGAAAGAAAGGGAGGAGCAGAGAACCAATCTCATATCCTCTTCTCTTCTGCAACCTCCTCTTTGCTCTGCCTAGTGGGAGGAGGGGACCTTGCAGGCCCAGCTGAGAACCCAGTGATGCCTAATTTCAAATCTTTGCCCTTTCCTGACCTTGGAAGAAGATGCTGGACTCTGTTGACTCTTCTCAGGAGGAAACTAAGGTGAGGTCAAATGCTTAGAGCCATTCAGCTCTGCCCAAGATCCCTTCTAGCCTAATATCCCTTTATATTCAGGGTTCATATCTGCAGCTGCTTGGGCAGAGGAAGGCCTCACAGCCCATATTAGAGGTTACCTTGTTTTCCAACTTAAGAATCAGAAAATACATAAAACTTACCTGAATTAAAAAAAAAACACACACATTGAAAACAGTAACAATGGTAAATTTTGCTATGTGGATTTCACTTAAAAAAAATCACATTGGTTCACAGGCTGAACAAATAATCATTATTAAGGAAGTGACAAAGTTCTTATCAAGCACCTACTATATTCTGGGTCACAGCTAGGGCTATGCATTTTACAATCATCTCATCTAATTCTCCCCTGAAATATTTATTATTATTATTATTTTATTTATTTTTTGAGACTGAGTCTTGCTCTGTCACCAGGCAGGAGTGCAGTGGTGCCATCTTGGCTCACTGAAACCTCCCACTCTCTGGTTCAAGCGATTCTCCTGCCTGGGCCTCCCAAGTAGCTGGGATTACAGGCACACGCCACCATGCCCAGCTAATGTTTGTATTTTTAGTAGAGATGGAGTTTCACCATGTTGGCCAGGATAGTTTCAATCTCATGACCTCGTGATCTGCCCGCCTCGGCCTCCCAAAGTGCTGGGATTGCAGGTGTGAGCCACTGTGCCTGGCTTATTATTTTTATTATTTCCACTTTATAGGTAAGAAAATTGAGCTTAGGTAAGTCGCCCAAAGTCATTCAGCTAGGAAACAGCCGAGCTGGAATTTGAACTTAGGCGGGTCTGACTCCAAAGTCCAGGTTCTATTCTTTTTTTTTTTTTTTTGAGACGGAGTCTTGCTCTGTCACCCAGGCTGGTGTGCAGTGGCGGGATCCCGGCTCACTGCAAGCTCCGCCTCCCAGGTTCGTGCCATTCTCCTGCCTCAGCCTCCTGAGTAGCTGGGACTACAGGCGCCCGCCACCTCGCCTGGCTAGTTTTTTTGTATTTTTTTAGTAGAGACGGGGTTTCACTGCGTTAGCCAGGATGGTCTCGATCTCCTGACCTCGTGATCCGCCCGTCTCGGCCTCCCAAAGTGCGGGGATTACAGGCTTGAGCCACCGCGCCCGGCCTATTCTTTTTTAAAAATTATTATTTTTGTACTTTTAGCAGAGACGGGGTTTCACCATGTCACACCATGTTGGCCAGGATGGGGTCGATCTTTTTTTTTTTTCTTAGACGGAGTCTCGTTCTGACGCCCAGGCTGGAGTGCAGTGGCGCGATCTCGGCTTACTGTAAGCTCCACCTCCCAGGTTCACGCCATTCTCCTGCCTCAGCCTCCCGAGTAGCTGGGACTACAGGTGCCCACCACCACACCGGGCTAATTTTTTGTATTTTTAGTAGAGACGGGGTTTCTCCGTGTTAGCCAGGATGATCTCAATCTCCTGACCTCGTGATCCACCCGCCTCGGCTCCCAAAGTTCTGGGATTACAGGCGTGAGCCACCGCTCCCGGCCTATGGGGTCGATCTCAACCTTGTGATCCCTCCGCCTTGGCCTCCCAAAGTGCTGGGATTGCAGGCGTGAGCCACTCCACCAGGCCGGCTGTATTCTTTGTATTACACCATACTGCCTGAAAGACGTACAAAATTCAACAATGAAAAAAAAAAAAATAACGACTTAGTACTATACTTGGACATTTGAATTTAAATTGAGAAAATATGCATCATTACCTGCCAACATGCTACCAACTAAAAAGGGAGGATACAGTTCAAACTATCACCACCAGAGGTCAGCAGAGGAGAAATTCCCTGCTGCGGTGAGAGGGCAGAAAGTACCTCCTCTGATGACTAATACATATAGTACACCTCCTACATTTACTAAGCTGCAGGAACTATAAAATGTAAAGGGCGGGCACAGGATGTGAAGAATTTCAGCATGGAGGTGGGAGAGGGCTATGGCTTGTTCTGCAATAGAGACAGAGGAGTCCAACTCCACCAGACTCTTTCCCAGAGTAATAAACAACAGAAATAGGTAATCACTTCCACCCCTGTGAGCCACTGGCTCATTGAGAATTAGAGTCAGAGGGGACTTGTTCTCTGTTTCCCTAGCTTTCTGTCGCCCTAGTGGCTGCCTGGAAACCCTTTCTTGGAATGATGGGGCTTAGACCAAGGATGATAGTCCCGAGTACTGACTTTTTTTTTTTGAGACGAAGTCTCACTCTGTCACCCAGGCTGGAGTGCAGTGGCGCGATCTCGGCTCACTGCAATCTCTGCCTCCCGGGTTCAAGCGATTCTCCTGCCTCAGCCTCCTGAGTGCTGGGACTACAGGCGCCCACCACCACGCCCGGCTAATTTTTGTATTTTTAGTAGGGACGGGGTTTTACCATGTTGGCCAGGCTGGTCTCAAACTCCTGACCTCAGGTAATCCACCCACCTGGGGCTCCCAAAGTGCTGGGATTACAGGCAGGAGCCACTGCGCCCAGCTTGAGTACTGACTTTTTGATTCTGGGGTCTTTCTTCTGGGGAACCTGCATGAAAGGAAGAGATAGTAAAAGTTCCAGTAGTCGTGTAACAGCAGCGGGAGGAATGACCAGGGATAGAGATAGCCGCCCATCCTTCCTTGGGCCCTTCCAGGAGTCTGCAGGACCTTGCCAGTGAGGTGGAATGTTGTGCTTCCAGCTACTTTTCTTCACTGGCTCCCAGATCAGATAAGTCTGGGGTGGTGTGTGTGGTGGGGGGTGAGGGGAGATTTGAAGGTGAAATAGCTTCCTGTGTCTGGAATGTCTCAGGAGACTATCTCCTCCAGAGTGGGAGCAGGGTAAGGATCAGGCAGAAAGGCAGTCTCCTCACCCAAAGCTTTGGATAACTAATTCTTCCCAAGACAGAAACATTCCAGTCAGGTTTATGGGAACTATACCTGCTCTGGGTTGTTAGGTTTTAGAGTTAAGATGGTGATAGAGGCTGGGCGCTGTGGTTCATGTCTGTAATCCCAGTACTTTGGGAGGCCAGAAGTTTGAAACTAGCCTGGGCAACATGGTGAGACCCCCATCTATATTATTAAAGAAAAAAAAAAAAAAGCATTTCCTTTTTTTTGTGACGGAGCCTCACTCTGTCACTCAGGCTGGAGTAAAGTGGTGCAATCTCCGCTTACTGCAACCTCCGCCTCCTGGGTTCAAGCAATTCTCCTGCCTCAGCCTCCCAAGTAGCTAGGATTACAGATGCCTTCCACCACGTCTGGCTAATTTTTTGTATTTTTAGTAGAGATGGGGTTTCACCATGTTGGCCAGGCTGGTTTCAAACTCCTGATCTCAGGTCATCCACCGCCTAGGCCTTCCAAAGTGCTGGGATTACAGGCGTGAGCCACTCCACCAGGCCAAAAAAAAGTCTTTCATTAAGTGCTGGGCCTACAAAGATAGAGATATGATTACTGCCCTCTGGGAACTCATAGTGTAGAAATGCAGGCAGATACATGGACAAGCAACCAGAAAACTGTGTTTCCTACTAGGGGCATGAGCAAAGAGCTATACAAATAGATCAAGTAAGCTAATTCTGCCTAGGGCATAGAAGAAAGGTGCCCAGAGAGTTTCACAGAGAAGGGGATATTTAAATAGTCCCAAAGGTAAACACAATGGTAAGAGGAGAACAGTTGTTCTAAGCAAAGGGAATGACAAGAGTAAAGGCACAGAGAAGTAAACACAAAGCCTTGTGTGTTAGAGGTGGAAGGAGTGAGGAGGAAGCAGTATGAGATATGAGACAGAAAATCACCTCAGAGAGAGATGGACCAAATTGGAAAGGTTTTCAATTCTGTATCAAGGAGCTTAGACTTTCCCAAAAAGCAAAATATTTTAGGCAGGGGCCTGGTGGCAATTGGAAGATGGATGACTACTGGGGTTTGGAGAGATCAGTTGCAAGACCTAAGCAGTAAACAAAGTGAGTACTGAGACAGTGGAAATGAAAATAAAAGAGGAGGCCGGGCGCGGTGGCTCATGCCTGTAATCCCAGCACTTTGGGAGGTCAAGACGGGCAGATCTCGAGGTCAAGAGATCAAGCCCATCCTGGCCAACATGCTGAAACCCCGTCTCTACTAAAAATACAAAAATTAACCGGGCATGGTGGCGCGCGCCTGTAATCCCAGCCACTCAGGAGGCTGAGGCAGGACAATCGCTTGAACCCAGGAGGCAGAGGCTGCAGTGAGCCAAGATCACGCCACTGCACTCCAGCCTGGAGACAGAGCGAGACTCCATCTCAAAAAAAAAAGAGGAAAAATTTGATATATATTGTATAGGTAATGTTGACAGGATTGGTAATCAAATGAATATTAGTAGGTGAAAGGGAGAACTAAAAGATGATTCTGAGGTTTCAAGTGTGAGTGATCAAGGAGCAGTGGGTGATATTATTTAGGGAGATGTGAAAGACAAAGAATTATTTCCCCTTCTACCATGTTGAATTTATCTGGAGGACATCCAGATGAAAATGTCTAGCAAGCAGACTTCCAGGTCAAGAGAAAAGTTAGGGCTTATGATTTGGGAGTCATCAACGTGGACATAATCTAATGTTAGAGTGGATGGGACTTGTTTAAGGGGGAAAAAGGTAGAGAAAGGAAAGGACACAAGACAGGGAACACAAATACTAAAGAGACACAGGAAGAAGTGGCTATGAAGGAGACTAAAAAATGTAGGCCGGGCGCGGTGGCTCAAGCCTGTAATCCCAGCACTTTGGGAGGCCGAGATGGGTGGATCACGAGGTCAGGAGATCGAGACCATCCTGGCTAACACGGTGAAACCCCATCTCTACTAAAAAATACAAAAAAAAAAAAACTAGCCGGGTGAGGTGGCGGGCGCCTGTAGTCCCAGCTACTCGGGAGGCTGAGGCAGAAGAATGGCGTAAACCCGGGAGGCAGAGCTTGCAGTGAGCTGAGATCCGGCCACTGCACCCCAGCCTGGGCAACAGAGCAAGACTCCGTCTCAAAAAAAAAAAAAAAAAAAAAAAAAATACAGAAATGTGCCGCGCACGGCGGCTCACACCTGTAATCCCAGCACTTTGGGATGCTGAGGCAGGCAGACCACCTGAGGTCAGGAGTTCGAGACCAGCCTGGCCAACACGATGAAACCTTGTCTCTACTAAAAATACAAAAATTAGCTGGGCATGGCAGCGGGTGCCTGTAATCCCAGCTACTCAGGAGGCTGAGGCAGGAGAATTGCTTGAACCCAGGAGACAGAGGTTGCAGTGAGCCAAGATCATGCCACTGCACTCCAGCCTGGGTGACAGAGTAAGACTCTGGCTCAAAAAAAAAAAAAAGAAAGAAATGTTGAAGGAGAACCAAGAGTGTATCAGTGTCACATTTTATGGGAAAAAAGCTCTAAGATATAGTAGTCAAAAGTAGCACATTGAAGCAGTGAGGTCTAAGAGGTTAATGACTAAAAGATCACCAGAGCTGGCATCCAGATGGTTGATGCTAC